GAATGTGTTTGTTCTTGTTATTCAAATACCAATTTGGTGGGAGAAGTTTGTAATGGACAAGTGCCCAGGAGTTATTTTTTCCTTTGAAAATCTCCACTTCAGACTGTGAATGGCAAATTCCAGTCCCTTAGTATAAAGATACTGATGCTGGTTCAGGATGTGGCAGGCTTAGCTCAGCTAATGAAAATGTGTGCACCTGGGCAGACACGTAGAATTCCAACTGCCTTGTTTGTAGCTGGACATTCTTCATGTACCTCTACAGGCATAAGTTGTCTAAGTTGTCCTGCTACAGAAGAGCTCAGATCTGGCTGGATGGGATTGCTTGTCAAATGCATGGGAGGGCTGAATTTACAACGACCTGCATGTGGGGTTGAATAGTGTGTTATATATATAGAGAGAGTTTTCTGGACAGATGTCATGGACATCCATGGCCCTGGATTTCTCTGTATCAGAATGGGATCTTTGATTGATATATACCAAACAGGGAATACTGGTATGCTTTTGCAAGATCTCTTTGAGTTGCTGTAAAAAAGGTATTGGACTGTTGGTCTGCTAAGCCCCAGTTGTGACCAACTGATACATCTAATTCCAGGGCTTAGTGAAGTACGTTGTGAGATTCATCATTTACAGCATTATTTTAATACAAATACTTGAATTAAAAGTTCTAATTGAATATCAGAAATTGCATGTTGCTTAATCAATTCTCCCAAACATTTTTAAAGACAGAAATACATTCTCAGCTTCCTCATTAAACTGGGGAAGAGTTTGTAATACGATGACAAAAGGAGGAAATTACTACCTTTCTAAAGAAAAGTATTTGCTTATTAACTTTTTCCCATTCAAATTCCCTTCCTTTAAATATACAGGCCTGATATAAATACAGTGATACTCTAGGTGACCTTAATTTTCATTCTCTCTGCCTAATATTTCTAAACATATAGTCATGTCTGTGGTGATACAGATACTATACTTTGTTTCTATGTGAAGTGAGCCTCAGATATTCATGTCTCAGACCATCTCCTCAGATTGTGTAGTTGACATTTTTGTCAGAGTACTAAAGATCCACTATAAATTCGTGCGACTGATGTGGCATCACTAGAACTTCCCCAAAGGCAACCTGAAGGTGTGACATCCTTGAAACAGTTTCCATTTTCCACAATAGCTGTGGAGAAGCTCATAATTTTAGGAAGTCAGTAGATAACAGTTGTATCCTTTTTCTCATAAGAGCATGTATGTGAAAGATGTTTCATCTGGAATTTAAACTGGCTGCAAGTTGGACTAAAGAGATTATAGGGATTGTGTGACTATTGCTATTGTCTTAAATATTGTGGCTTCTCCTAGCCAAGGGCCATGCAGAATTGTGGATGAATTTTTTTTTGTGGGGTGATGGTGTGTTTGCTTTTTCCCCTCTTACTTCTGAGCAACATTGTGGTATTAAATTGATCCATGAATAAATTAACTTGATCCTGCAAGGAGTTCAGGATTTTCCTATGGTCCAAGTGGTGGTTAGAAATAATGCATAAGGGCTGATGGTTTGGAGGTTGGTATTGAGATTCTGAAAAGAAACTTGTGAGACACTAAAGAACTCGCTCACTAGTAAGCAGGAACTAATATAGGCTTCTGTAAAATAAACCCAGTTCAAACTTATACCTTTCAAGCTTTGAGTGGAAGTGAAAATCCTGCTGCTTGTGTAGGCTGTTGCATTGTCAGTTGCCTTTTGGTAATCTGAGTGTCATCTATGGCTTCTTGGACAGGGAAGAAACTCTTCTAGTCCTCACTAGCCATTGCTTACTGCTTGCATATAGGTCTTGAGTAAGCAATGTTAGGGCTATCACAGAATCTTCAAGAAACTTTTCTAGATGGTCTTTTGCCTCTTCCCAGAAAGTGGTCTGTATGCTCTTTGCAAACAGTCTGACTTATTTTCACCTTTCAATGTAATTTCAATAATGAAAACCATAGATTTAAAAAGTATAATGCTGGTTCCTCTCCAGTCTTATGGAGGGCTTATGTTTTGGAAAACTTCCAGCAGTGTTGTGAGTTACTAATATGCTCTTAAAACAGAGGACTAAAGATTACTTTGTTCCACTTATTCCCTCTAAGCATACTTGTTCCTTATGGGGGGGTTTTAGTTTTCTGATGGCAGTATGGGCGTAAAGTGTTAGGCTCTAGAAGCTCAGTGACCTCCCACACAATCTTGCAAGTATGACATGGTGCTGTGCACTTGTCCTAGATTACTCCCTCAGGAGATGTCAGAGATCTTTGTTAATGAGCCTGAAGGTTTCCAGTCTTCCTCCAGGGCCTTCCAATAAAGCCTTTGTCCATATGTTTGTCTAATACTGTTGGAACTGCACTTGGAGCAGAAGGATGGAGTTAAATAGCATGTGCAGTTTTTGTTCTTTACAATCACTGCTGAGTGAGGTGACATTAAGAAGAAAGTCTTTTAGTAACTGTTCACCTATAGCATTTCAGTGGTATGGCTGGAGTAAAACCTAGCAAGCTAAGTCAGTCTAAAAGGCTGTCACAACAGTTTATGTCATAAAAGCTCCTCTTCTTAGTTATCTATGATAACTATTTCCTATTAATCACAATTAGACTAGCTCAAGCTTCAGAGATTTTCTACCTAGAGGATACATTTTGTGACAGAACAGACCAACATCAGACCTGGATTTGTTTAAAAGTTCTTTTTCAGTCAATCATGTTTGTTCAGGGTCTGTTTTTTCTGCCATCATGTGCCAGGTGTTTTTAACAAGCATCTTAATGATATTTCAGAGGTTATGGAATAAAAGGAAAAGTTTATGTGAAAATTACAGTAGTAATTGTATTTTATTTTTGGATGCCTGTTGCATACAAGGAATTTGGACCTAGAAATGAAACCTGGTATTTTTAAAGCCAGTAGTCCTGTTGATTGTTCAAATTTATAATTTGCTGAGCCATGGAAAAAATGGTTCTTTGTGCCACAGTTATATAAAATTCCTGGCAGTGTACCAGCTTGTGTACTCTGTGGCATGGTAAGTTTATGGGCTGTGTTATTACTCTCTTGGTGGTATTTCAGGATGTTGTGGTGGAAGTGAAGTGCTTTCCTCTGAACTCTGGCTACATGTCTTAGTCCGAATTCACTGCCCTTAGGGAGAAAGGGAAATGTACTGGTTTAAAAAATGTGATAGGATATCACTTTAATTAATAGACAATTTTTATTCTCCTTTGGGGAATTAAAGTTTTGATTTGTATGGAAACTTTTTTTCTAACTGAGAGAGCACAGATAGCTGATATCAAGCAAATGAGTCTTTAGGTTACTGTGAAGCTGAAACTTGTGATGTGCAGGAAGAGTGTGCATCATTTTTTGAGTTGATCAGCCTTCTCCTGGTATCAGCTGATGACTTGGAGCTGAGATGAAAATTAAAATCTCTATCACGCAACTTTGTCATCTTGGGCAAGGCCCTTAACCCACCTATGCTTTGCAAACTCAAGGGTAAGCAGCTACATCTAATAGCACCCAGTGTCAAAGATACTAACTGGCACAATCCTTTGGAATTCTGTTGTGTGATTTCACTTCTGTTCAATGTGATAACACATTAGCACTCAACACTTAACAAAGGCTTGTGCAGGCTCCTTGGTGGTAGCACATACAGGTATTCAAGCAGGGGTTTTTATAACACTGTGTTAACAAATGTTTGTTGGTTACCATTTCTTCAGTGGCAGCAGATGCTAACAATTTCGGATCATTAGGGAGTTTGACCTAAGTAGTCGCTATTCAAATTTTATTAGCAGGTTAGAATTGTTGGTCGCACATTTCAAGTCTTGGGAAAGTTGTCTAAACTGCTTCAGTATATTAAGGTTATTCAGAAAAAGGAGTATGTGACACTTCCATCTGTTTAAACTGAGCTGGATGTAGTGAGGAATATAAAAGCAGAATCACAGAATCAGAGAATAATCAGATCTGAAAGGGACCCTTGAGGATCATCTAGTCCAACTCCTGGCCCTGCACAGGACATCCCCAATAATTACACCATGTGCCTGAGAGCATTGTCCAAACACCTCTTGAACTCTGTCAGGATTGGTGCTGTGACAACTTCCCTGGGGAGCTGTTCCAGTGCTCAAACACCCTCTGGGAGAAGAACCATTTTCTAATATCCAAACACCTAAACCTCCCTTGACACAGCTTCAGATCATTCCCTTAGATCCTGTCACTGGTCCAGAGAGAAGAGGTCAGTGCTGCCCCTCCACTTCCTTTCATGAGGAAGTTGTATACAGTGATGAGGTCTCCCCTCAGTCTCCTCCAGGCTGAACAGACCAAGTGCCTCAGCCACTCCTCATGTGGCTTCCCTTCAAGGCCCTTCACCATCCTTTGGACGCTCTCCAATAACATGTCTTTTTTATATTGTGGTGCCCGAAACTGCACACAGTATTTAAGGTGAGGCTGTAGGAGTACAGGGCAAAGCAAGATGTTCATCTCCCTTGACCATCTGGCAATGCCTTGCCTGGTGCACCCTTGGGCATGGTTGGTCCTCCTGGCTGCCAGGGCACACTATTGACTCTTATTCAACTTGCCATGGACCAGGACCTCCAGGTCCCTTTCTGCAGCACCACTTTCCAGCCCTTCATTCCCCAGTCTGTATGTACAGCCAGGGTTGTCCCATCCCAGGTGCAAAAAAGTAATTAGACATTAGGATACAGAAAGTTAGAATATAATTGATAACATTCATAATGTCATCAATGTAATGTAATTGTATTGTGTTTTCCTCACTGTAATCCAAGAATATCTTCATATTCTGCCAATTAATACTTGAGGGTTTTTTATGTAATGGAAAATAATTTTATGGTATCTCTCCTGATTCGATTTGGAACAAACTTGCAGAATCATTATTTATGTCTTACTTAGTTATTACCACTCTGATTTCAAGATAGAAGGTATTTAAGTATTCTGTATAATACCTCACTGGTAAGATTCCTCTTGCAGTAATGTATTAGCCCTTTATAGCATCCTGTCATCTTAATTACAGGGGTTGGAGAGAGGAGCCAAAAATCAGTTTTCCACTTTCAGCAATTTCATCACAACTATCAACCAAAAGAAAGAAGGCATCGGAAACAGAAATTCGCCTACGCAACTTGTTATACCCAACATCAAAACCGGTAAGGGAATAAAAGCCTTGTGTTACTTAGTTACCAATTTAAGAAGGTGCTCAGTGTTCTGCCAATATTTGTATTGTGGTAGTGCCAGAAAATCTAGAAATGAAGATTTCATTAAGTTATGCTGTGCTGTATGTTGTACAGGCAATGATGTGTGATAGTCCATCCTCTATAGCGGTTATGTTGTAGAGGCAAGTTGGATGAGAAAAACAAATAGACCTGGAGGATGGAATAATCATCTGAAATTTTAAAGAAAGTTACCAACTCAGTAGTCTATCTGCAGATAGAGAAACTGCAGTCAGGCAGTTTCTCTAGAAACTGTGTCAAAACTTTGTGGAGAAAATTTTTCCATCACCATCTGAAGGATGTCAGGGATGAGTCAAGCATAAGGCTTTTAAGGGAGACAGTTGCTGAGAGCTGATGTTTTTCAGTGTACATGAAGGCCAGTGATGACACAAAATAAAATGCACAGGCAAAGATGGGTAAGTTCTGAAGAGCCTTAAAGATGAGAAGAAGGTTGCTGTGATGTGATGGGGTAGCAATAATAAATGGAAAGATAGAAAGTGGAGCTCTGTATTCAATTTGGTAGGCATGAATCATGAAGCCTAGATGAGATTATGTTGTGGTTACACCTGGAATTTTTATTAGGTTTTAGGTCTAGGATATGGAATTTGAGTAATTTGGGACTTTTCATAAAAGACTGTAGAAACGCTGGTCTGCTTTGTTTTGATCTTGCCTCCGAGCAGGACCCGATCAGCCTTAGTTTTCAATGGTTTGCTATGTCTTTATAGCACTCAATGCATTCAAGTCTGGAAAGAAAGGGACTGCATTGATTAAGATATCTCAGTAGTGTGAGTTTGAAGCAAAGCTATGGACAGGTATTGTCAGTTTCAAAGTTATGCCGGAGAAGGTGGCTTATAACTTGCTGTGTTGGATCCTTACTAAAGTGATCTTTGTATCCTTGCTATCTATACTCCAAACTAAAAGACAGTGTGAGTTTTGGGGTTTTTTTATCAATTTTTGTTATGGAGTATGGACATGATTTCTACTTCCAAAACAAGGGCAATCACTGAAACACAAAAGGCAATTATATTTAAATGATATCTCAGACAGGATTTTGTACTTTGCTCAAGTCACTGTGCTACACAAAGGAAACCATAGTGGCTGGAGATGGCCTGTAAAGAATTCTCCCACTGCTGCATACCATACCAGAGTTAAGGTAGAAGTGGTGTTCTTGAGGGCAATGCTTGTAACAAAGCTGGAAGAACAGCCTTCAGGTGGCCATTGCTCTCATCTCTATGTTTTTAAAGAAAAGTCTTCATATTGTTTTTAGCCTTTTGGGGTTTTTTTAGCCTTGCAAAGAGGCTCAGGGGTGACCTCACGGCTCTCTACAACTACCTGGCAGAAGGTTGGAGAGAGGTGGGGGATGGTCTTTCCTGCCATGGCTGCAAGGAGAGGACTAGCGGGAATGGCCTTGAGCTGGAAGCGTTTAAGAGGTGTCTGGATCTGGCACTGGAGGATGTGGTTTAGGGTTTACAGAAGAGTGATGGATGAATGGTTGGACTCTATCATCTTAGAGATATCTTCCAGTCTTGATGATTCTATGTGAATTGCATGTAAACAATTGCAGTATCATTGGAATCTAAAAGTCCTCTGAGAAATAAAATATTTTGCCTTTCTTGGATAACATTATTTTCCTCAGAAGCTAAAAGTGACCTCGTGTCAGTGACTCAGCTGATAGCCTCTTGAACAGAAACAGGCAGGTAGTTGTTTCAGGCTCTAAGCTACTGTCTTTCACTACTTAAGCCTTTATTGTGTCCTGTCCAGCTTCTGTCTGAATAGTTGCTTTGTACAATCTTATGATATGAAAGCCCAAGGCTTAATAAAATTTAGGACAAAGTAAAATTCAGTTTAACATTGGGCTAAGCAATGTGTAAAACACAGAGCCCTCTTGCAGAATTCTTTTCACTAAACAGCAATATGCTCCTGCCCCACTCCTCCCCACCCTCCTACTTTTTTTTTTGTATCTGACAAGAATGGCAAACTCTAAACACCTCTCTCTTGAAGTGCTCTCAGTTTTGCTGCACATAATACTGTCCCAGTTGTAGTAACTGCCTCGTAAGTACTTAGTTGTTAATTTTCACAGCACTATGGCAATATTTTTTATAGTCAAGGATATATTCTTGAAATAGAGTGGAAAAATTGAGCAGATGTTCTGGTAGTTACAGGATCAGGGTAACCTTCCTACATAAAACCAGATTATTTTTAGTAACAGTCCAAGGTGAACTCAAAATATTTTGAGGCAGTATGTTTATTCTATGGAAAAAACAACAATTGAAGCAAACCTCTTAGTTAAAAATGCTTCTTTTGCTAATCTGACATTCAGGAATGATGCTTGGTTGGGATTTTGGTTGGCTGTTTTCAGTTTATCTGTACGTGTGCTATCTCTCTAAACAGATGTAGATATGTGTGTATATATATGTGCATATACTGATAATATTTTTAGGCTTGAGTTCAAAGAATGTTAATTTCATTGAAAACAAAAATGTGGTAAACACAGCATGCAAGCTAGGAAGATGTTTGTTTGCTGCCACATATAGCAAGTCTTCTAGTGTAACAATGATCTAGTATGAAATCTATGTATGAAATAGATTGTTCTAGTTCTTTTTGCTGTTACAAATACAAGTAAGTTTTGTTTGCTTTATCTACCTTGAAAGTTTTCATCTGCCAGTAGCTGTGTTTGGTCACCATGAAAACAACTACTATTCTAAATTAATTCACCCTGAACTTCCCTGTGCTACTCAATTCTGCTTTGTATCAATGACATTTTCTACCTCAGAGGTTTTCATCATTCCTTAAGGAGTCATGTATTGCTAAGTCTTTTTACTTAATATAGCAGGGCAAGCAGCCAGAAATGATTGATTTTTCTTGTCTTGTAATATTGTGTTATTGCTGCTTGTCAACTCAGTACATAGAGTTTCAAGTTTCTCCTGAATGGAACTCAAGTGACAGATCTTAATTAATACTTCTGACTGGCAGATGAGCAAATAAATCTATTTACAAATAAACTTGAATTATGATAAAACATACTGAAGTTGACAGTATTTATTAAACATATTAATAAAAATCAATTTTCATATATCTAAACTAAACTGCATATATTTCAAAGAAAATTGCATTGCTGACAAGGTTCCAGTTAGCAGCTTAGCACCTGCAGCCTCAATTTACTGAAAGGAGAAACAGCTTCTGTCGGCAGATGCCTCTTCTACAGATGTGGAAAGAATATTTCCCCATTTCAGTGTATTCAGCTGGTTATAACTCAATGCTTAATCCATTTCAAATGGAGAGGACAGAATGAGAGTTAAATGAAAATGTCTTGTTATTCTCAGAGTATAAAAATAAGACAAAGTCTTAGTTTATTTCAATTCAGTCCATCCTGCTTTCAGAGAATGATGTGCAATAGCAGAGCACTTGTATGGCAGGATTGTTTGGCACCTTAGCTTGAATTAATTTAGCATCTATGTGTCCACTTTGACTTTTTGAAATTACTGCTTTTCAGATAGCTTTATATTCCAGCTGTGAGAATGAACGAGGTTCCAGATGTGTAATCGATGCCATACTGAGGGGATTGAAGGCAGTTCTGGTCTGTTACCATCTGATGAGTGGTGGCTGAGTTAAGTCACAATGACACTGTCTCTGTGATTAGCATGACTAAAAAGAATCTGCTTTGGGGTTTGGGGGATTTTGTTATCATCTATTTCCCTGCTGTGATAAATGGAGTAGGCAGCAGAGTAGTGATACTACTTTGATGTTTAGTTACTTTTAAAAAGCAACTGTAGGAAAAGGCTTAGAGGGCTCTTAGACAATTCATAGAGGATTTTTGTTATGTTTGACTTTTGAGGACACTTTTATATAGTGTCTTTTATCCCAAACATATGTCACAATTTATATAAATGCTTTTAAAAACATGCAGTATAAATCAGAGTAAAAAAGGCATTTTGAGGATGTTTGTGAAGCCACTGTCAGTGAAATGGGTGTTGGAAAGTGTTTTGCTGCTTTGGGTGTGTTTACCTTGGCTGGCTGCCTGACACCCACAGAGCTGCTCCATCGCTTCCCCTCCTCTACAGGACATGGGGAGAAAATACAATGAAAAGCTCATGGCTTGAGATAAAGAGAGGGAGTTCACTTTCCAATTACTGTCACAGGCAGATCAGACTTGACTTAAAGAAATTACTTTATTGCCAGTTAAAAAAAAAACCAAAACCAAAACAAACTTGAAAACACCTTCCGCTGTTCCACTTCCCCCCTGCCTTTTCTTGTTCCGTCTCAATTTCACTCCTTTCCCCACTCTTCTGCCTCCTTTTGCCCAAGTGGTGCAGGGGGATGAGGAAGGGGATTGCAGTCAGCTCATAAAACTTCATCTCTGCTGCTTCTTCCTCCTCACTCTGCTCCCTTGTTCCAGCATGGGGTCCTCCCATGGGATCCATTCTTTCACAAACTTCTCCAACATCAGTCTTTACCATGAGTTGCAGTTCTTCAAGAACTGCTCAAAGGTGGGCCCTTTCCACAGGATAAAGTCCTTTAGCAACAGAGTGTTCACGTGTGGGTCCCCCATGGGCCACAGTTGCTGCCAGCAGCCTGTTCAGGCATGAGCTCTTCCCAGGCTGCAGGTGGATCTCTGCTCCACCATGGTCCTGCATGGGCTGCAGAGGGACAATGTGCTTCACTGTGGTCTTCTTCACAGGCTGTAGGGGAATCTTTCCTCCAGCACCTGGAGCACCTCCTCCTCCATCTTTTCCACTCACCCAGATGCCTGCAGGGTAGTTTCTTCCTCTCTCACAGCAGCTGTGAGAGAGGAGGTGTGTGTGCTGGTTTTTACCTTTTTGTAATCATTACAGAGGGGCTATCAGTGTTGCTGATGGGCTCAACTTTGGCCCATGGTGATAATGTTTTGAAGCTGATTGTGTCTGACATAGAGGCAGCTCCATCTCTCCTCTCACAGCACCTACCTTAGTGACAAATCTTGCCACGCTGACTCAATACAAATAGAAAGTAAGGAGTAGAACAGAAAGATGCTGGTAAAGCATTGCTAGTTTTACTTAGAAAAGGCAGCCAAATTTACTGAGAAGAAATGTTTAAAGATGCTACTGTTTCACCACTAATTCTCTGTAAGACAAAAAAAATTTGCATTTCCCATTGAATTTATTGGAGAGATTCTTTAAGGAGGCTGTAAATGATCCACAGTCAGCTCTAGCTAAAATTATATATCACAGTGTAGAAAGACAGACTGAAGTCTTGTCCTTGTGTGATAGTTGGACTTTGGTGTGGTTGTGCTTGAGATTTTTCTTTGCTGTAGGGAATACCAGTGTTGCAGTTCATATATTACAATACAGGAGTGGGTAACACTACTATTGCCTTCACTTAAGTCCGAGTTTCCATCATGTCTGGGATGCATGTACTGGAAAAAGTACTTGTTTAAAGATGTAGAAGCAAACACTGAGTTTTCTTTTTTTTTCCTAGTTCTTATATATTTTACTAACTAAATGTTTATGCATATGATTGCATTGTATTTATTCTTCTTTCTCTTCTTTTTTAAGTGAGAGACCTACCCCCTATTTGCCTCGATGTGCGGCAGAAGCAGCGCATGTCTATAGACACACTACCCCAAGAACTGAAAGCACCACTTCCTCCTGAGCCTTCCCTTCCCATTCGAACCAAAACTGTGAAAGATTTTCAGTAAGTTACACTCGTGTTCCTAAAACTGTACTTTCTTTGGACTTTTTTGACCTAATTCATACATTTGATTTTGTTAATCTGAAATGAGGAAGCAGTTCAGTAAGACTGACACGTAATGATTCTGGTAGTGATGGTGGGATTGATAACTCTGTTACTGGGAAAATTAGTGAAATACTCTTTATAGCTTGAAGTGTTCCACTCAGAAAATGGCAAAGCATATATTTCAGAGCTAAAAACTCAGTGGATGTTTAGTTTTGGAAATAAAAATGTATGGCTTATTGTAGGCTGGAAAACCCCTTGCAGCCTTAGGTATTTTGTTTCTACTGCCAGTTATTGCTTTTTTCTACGTTTGAAAGTTTGTGCATTCAGTGAGGAAAGGCATGCTTTTTGATTACTTGGTGTGTATTTGGTGGGAAAGAGGTGTAAGGGAGAATGTAAAGAGAGGTGGTCCTTTGCTGTCACTCAGCTGATCAAAGAGCTGAAATTTTTCCCATATTCAGGTTTTTGTATCTGTTGACTGCTACCTAATTACCAATAATTTTATTATTTAAAGTATTAAAAAGTCATCAGCATTTTTTTGTGTATCCCACTGATAACATTTATTTAATATCTAGTACAAAGAAATTATCTGGGGAGAGCAAACAGGGATTTGTGTCGCCAGCATTGTAGAGAGCTAAAGTAAAGTTCTGACTCCAAGCACCCCTTCAGGTACTGGAAAGTGCTGTAAAGTCTCCCCAGAGTAACCTTTTCTTCTCCAGGCTGAACAACACCAGTTCTCTCAGCCTGTCTTCCTAGGAGGTGATGCAGCCCACTGATCATCCTTGTGGCCCTCTGCTGGACTTGCTCCAACAGGTCCACATCCTTCTTATGTTGGGGCTCCCAGAGCTAGGCACAATATTCCAGGAGGGGTCTCACCAGAGCAGAGTAGCAGGGTAGAATCAGCTCCCTCAACTTGCTGGCCTTGCTCCTTTTGGTGCACGTTTCTGGGTCACGCTAAGCTTCTCATCCACGAGCACCCCCCAAGTCCTTCTCCTTAGGACTGATCTCAATCCATTCTCTTCCCAGCCTGCATTTGTGCTTTTTGATCTTCATGAGGTTCACACAGACCTCTCAAGCCTGTCAAGGTCCCTCTGGATGGCAATCCCTTCCCTCCAGCATGTCAACTGCACCACACAGCTTTGTGGCATCAGCAAACTTGCTGAGGGAGCTCTTGATCTCACTGTCCGTGTTGCCAACAAAGAAGTTAAACAGCGCCGCTCCCAGTACTGACCCCTGAGGAATGCCACTTGTCACTGGTCTCCACTTGAACATTGAGCCACTGGCCACAATTCTTTGACTGCAAACATCCAGCCAATTCCTTATCCACTGACTGGTCCACTCATCAAATCCATGTCTCTCCACTTTAGAGACAAGGATGTCATGCAGGACAGTATTAAATCATAGAATCGAAATATTTTGGGTTTGAGGGAACCTTTAAAGCTCATCTAGTCCAATCCCCTTGCAATGAGCAGGGACATCTTCAACTAGATGAGGTTGCTCAAAGCCTTGTCCCACCGGACCTTGAAGGTATCCAGGGATGGGGCATCCAAAACCTCTTTGGGTAACCTGTGTCAGTGTTTCACCACCCTCATTGTAAAAAAAACAACTTCCTCCTTTTATCTAATCTAAATCGACCCTCCTGCACTTTAAAACCATTGTCCCTTGTCCTGTCCCTTTTAATCCCCTGCTGTGAGCCCCTACACGCCTCCTTTGCCGCTCTGCCATGCTTGCCATCCACAAGGCACTGCAAGCTCCTACTCTAGTGGATCTGGCAGCTGCTTCCTGTGCTGAGGGTTTCAGTTTCCCCGTGCTGAGGTTTTCTTGCCCAGTCTGCTGCAACACAAGAGGAAGGGGCTTCCAGGGGAAGTCCAAGTAGATGACATCAAGTGCTTCTTCCATCATCAGCTGCTACTGTGACCCCATTGTAGAAGGCCACCACATTTGACAGGCAAGATTTGTCCTTAGTAAAGCCAGGTTGGTTGTCACCAATGGCCACCTTATTTTTCATGTGCCTAAGATAAAGTTTTATTTGAAAAATTTGAAGATAAATAAGATTTTGTACAAATGATACTGTTGATTAGTTTAGGAGTCTGCATAGTTAAATAAATTAGTCTGATATTTTTTATCGTGTCAGTGTCACTTCAATGTAATTCTGTTCTGCTAATTATTTGTCTTAACATACTGAACTGTGACATTGTGAATTAACATTTTGAATAAAAGACATTGCTCATGTATCAAACACAAACTGTGCTTTTGTTCTCTTGTAATGCCATGATCTTAAAATGACAAGGAAGATGTTAGAAAGATACTGGTATTATACTTGTCTGTCTTCTAAGTGTGCTTAGTGAGAAAAGCAGAGTTGCAGTGCATTCTAAGGTCTAAGTGTCTGGAAAGATCAAACCCTTATATTACCAGTATTTTAATATATTCTTTCTAGGGAGGATGTGGAAAAGTCTAAGGCATCAGGAGACTGGAAAGCTGTACATGATTTTTATTCTACAACATTTGATTCTTTCCTGGAGATAAATGCTGCATTTAAGGTAGAAAAGAATTCATAATACTCTTTGGTAATTACAGTTCTTTGTATCTTCAAAAGGGTTACAAAAATATCAGTTCAAGGCTTGCAGCCTGTTACTCAAGGCCTCTAAGATCATTTTGCCATGCTCTCACTTGCCTTTGCTAGACAAGCTGTTATTACATTGATTCATTGATTCCAGTTTAAGCAACTGTATTTCAAGGGTATGTGGAGCTTTAAAATTCCAGTTGTGGTTTGTTTTGTGACACTGTGACTGTGTAGATACTTTCTACACAAATTACAGTTTTAAAACATGCTGCTAATGTAGCTAATGCAAACAGAAATTCTGTCACTAAAAAAGGTGTGATACGGGCTCTAGGATAGCTGTTCATGTGTTCTGATGGCATACTTTGTTTTCCTTGGAAAACAGTATATTTGTGTTTTTTCAACTCATGCCAAATTATTATTTCCTGCCTATTATAAAGCAAAATGTGCTTATGATATTTGAAATAGACAGTAGGGCCTGAACCTAGACAAAATAACCTGTGACTTTCAGTTACTTAACAAATACTGAATGCTTAAAATGTTGGTTTTGTCTGATGATGGATCAACCACAAAACAGAAAGATGAAAATTCCATGTAATTTATTATTTGGAACCTTCTTACATTTTTAAAATAGAAACACAAGGTAGTGGAGTTACATGAATATTGCCAATGTGTAGGATTACTATTGTTTTGCTTCATCTTTCACATATTAATAACAAACTTAGATTCCTATGTTTTGATAAGAAAAATAGTTATAGCTGAACATGTTTTCTTAAATTTGCTGTTAAACTTATGTTTTTCAAAGATAGCTAAAATATTCAAAATACTCCAAAACCAAAGTGCTTTGTGTATTATCTAACTTACAGAAAGATACCAATTCTCCATTTAATACTATTGAGGACTCTGGAATTGATGACCAATTTGTGAATGTTGTCTATGATGCCTTATTAAATACTGTAAGTAGAAGTTTTAAAACACCGTAACAATTATTTCAGCAAGGAAATATGTTAAGAAACAACTTATACTAGAAGTTTTTCTCAGATGGGCACAATTTCTGTAGAATCTCTCAAACATACTTGAAATGGTCCCATGAAAATTGCCACAGAATCATGAAAGCTGCTCTAGTGAAAGAAGAGGAAAGTTTCCCTACTAGTAAAGTTTATATTGTGGTAGATCTTAAAGACCATTTGCAAGGTATGACATGATTGTGATGGGACACTGTGTGGTGGGAAATAAAGAAAATGTGAGGATGGTGGTAGCAAAAAGTAGGGACTGTGCCCAGCAAACGAAAGGCAGGAGTAATTTAGAAATTAGAGTTTTTAAGTTGGTTTTAAATGTTGAAAGTCACCATTGGCACAACCCCAGGCCTAGCTAATAATCTGTGAGGAAAGATACTTTGCAGCTCAGCATCATAACACAAAAGATTTCTTAGCTGTCTTGAATCACAAGCAACATAAACTTACTAGTTTATACAATATGTTGTATCAAGTATGTATAGTTACATCAGATACAATTTTTCCTCTCCTTTTTCCATAGCCTCAAGATGTTCAGAAGTCAGTCCTGAAAGGAATAATTAATGGTTTGCTACAAGAATGGACAGGGTAATTATAACAAATGTTTGCATTAATGCTGTGCCAGCACTTTAAAACTGACATGTTTTGTCTTTGTTTTGCACAAAGAAAGAAACTGGTGTGATGCAACTTAATTGATGTATAGGAACTTAATCTCCTTTTGGCAGATAAATCTGCTGAAATACATCATGAACTCTCTAAGCTGATGTTTAACCTCTGAGGCAGATCCAGACCCAGCCATACATCCCTTCACAAAATCTCAGCTGCTTATTCCAGGGCATTTAGGAAATTTGTCCAGGGTAAAACTTATGGTCCACCCTGCAACAGCAACTAGGGTAATTCCCTGATCCAAAGTTTACTGCACAGTAACATTCACGTGTGGCAGCAGCATAGAAAGAGCAATGCAGGATGCAGAAGGAATAGCTCAAAAGTAGGAGGGATTTTTTGAGATGACAACATTCTAGTGCAAAGTAATAGAAGTCAGAATGCATAAAGTAATTCAGTAAAAGATATAGCAAGAGACACTGCCTTGCTGTGAATTACTTGTGACCAAGGCTTTGGCTACTCCTTGCTCCAACTTACACTACCTTTTCTGTGCTGTTGCTTTGTGAGTACTTGTGGCTATGTAAAAGCTTTGATAAACAGCAAGAAGTACAGAGTGGTGGAAGTGTATGGAGAATTCTTGCAGGAAGTATCAGAGATGGGGCAAATAAGCTCTTCTGTACTGTCACTTGAGATAGAAAACAGTATGGAATTCCCTCTTTGAAATGCCTCTTGCTCTTTAATTCTGAGCTTTTTCTGGCCTTCTCTCGTGTTATGCCTCGAGACGATGCTAAAATAGCCTACTGCCCTAAGAGAGTTGTCAGAATCTGTAAGTGTCCTCAGCTTCTGAGAGTAGGGAAGGTTCTTAAATAGGGATTTCTATATGTATTGACAGAGCAAAATAAAATCATAGGGTGCATGATTTCATGAGTCTTAATGTGTGTAAATTATGGCTCTATTTGTTATTTCATTCATTCATAGGCCACGAACAAAAGATGATCTTAGAGCATACTGTATACTACTACAGGTAAGAAAAACACAGTATTTTCATTTAAGTATGTGTCTGCTTAATTTGTAATCTATAAACCAGTACACTATGCAAACAAGATAATTTGTATAGCTGGGATAGTTCACATCTAATTTCCTGTTACGAGAATGTATTAAAATATGGAAGAAGTGTAGGG